AGATGCTAAAGGGTTGGAGGGACTTTTGTAAGTCCCAACATCATAGAAAACTTTTGTGCATTAAAATTGCTTATAGAGCTATACCAGTGCTTTCAGAGCAATGATATAGCTGAATAGAAGGACATATGTACAACACTTTCTACAAGAAGTGATTCAGAATAAAAACTCAAGCACTCAAACATATTAGAAATAGAGACCTGCAATCACAGTAAATACTGGAAAAAAGGTATTACTGCAAAATAACTAGGAGATAAATGGAAAATGCAGTATTGAGTGCAAGGATTTAAATTGCTAGAATGCTTCAGGGGCATACATGCATGATGCTTGCAAAGTGAGTATATGCTAGGTAAAGATTTGAAGATAGCATTGCAGGGAATGATAAGAGTAGCCATGAATAATTAGCCCTATTGATATAGGGCACTCATGCTACCTGGTTAATTTTTCAAGTTTTCCTGGACGTGCATCCAGTATTACTGGAATGACTGGTTATGGACACACATATTGAAGTACATTTTAAGCCTGACATACTTTATGGAAGGTAAATAAAATGGCAAGGGTGATCCAATGATTCATCCAAAGGTTGATCCAAAGGTTGATCCAAAACCATATATGGTTGATCCCATATATTCTCACCAGTAAGAGAAATATTGAAGTGCTCCCTCTTGCTTCATATGTGGGGTCAAGCAAAAGAAAACTTTTCCATCACTGTATGTTAAAGCATGGCTGAAGCTATCTGGAATCGTAAATTTTGATGGGCCTAGAATTAAGGAGCACGTCTGCAAAAGTTGGTCTGGGTTGATACGAACAGGTATCACAGGCGCTGAGGGTTGTGATGTATCACGCCAAAGGAAAATATTGTCTCTCAGGTGATAGCCTAAGAATTGTGCAGATTCATAGGAGTTTTGTGTGATTTACAAAGATAGAACTATTCCCTAGAGAGAATACTATTTGAATAGAAATACTGCGGAAGATCCATTAGGATGGTTTACTGTCATTGAAATAGTTTCTGAGGTTTCTCCTCAGAAACTCAAGGTGAAGTCCACCTCCACTCAGTTTAGACATGATAGCGGTAGTGATAGAAAATATTCAGGTCGCTGGTAGCATCTGAATGTTGTTTGGGTTTACATAGGTCAATTTCACATAGGTCAGTTGTGTTGACCTATGCCTCAGGGTTGCAGTTAGAATGACATTGCATTTAAACACACTGTTATGGTACAAATTCTCTTTTTTTTAGTGTATATTTCTGATAAATCTTTTACCAAAGTGTTAAGTTTGGTACCCTGATGACCACCTACTTTACTCACAGAGAATCACAGAGTAAATCAATTTGGAAGGGACCTCAGATGGCTTCTGGTCCCACTTTCTGCCCAGAGCAGGAGCAACCTTCAACACAGACCAGGTTGCTCAGGGCTTTGTCCAGTTGGGTCTCACAAACTTCTAACATGCTGATGTGGGCTACAAGATCACGGTTTCTTTCAGTGCCTTGGAAGGATAGTGAAATGATGGAGGGGTAATGACAGGAACAAGGATATTTGAGCCATACGATCAGAAACCGGGATTCTTTCTTCTGACCTTTTTTTTTCTTCCCATGATACTAAGTAAGATGGTTAACAGTATGTATGTATAAGGAGGCTCCAGTTAGTGTTGCACTGACAACCTTAATTCTGGTATTTCCTAAGTTTGTTAGGGTTTAATTTTCCAATCTATATAATATATATATATTTTATAATAATATATCTTTTTATCCTGCAGGATCCCAAAGTGCTTCTCATGTTACACATCTAGCTGGCCATAGCCTACTCCTATCGAGGCCAATAGACATTTTGCCACTGATTTCATCTGAGCTAGGATTTGGCTGTGTAGAAATACAAGTAATTCCGTACGTCCGTTGACCTTTAATAAATTCTGATTTCCCACCTGACCAATAAATCTGCCAGCAGGAGAGGAGAACAAACTTTGGTGTCGCTTACTGAACAACTAAAGGTTTCAATTTAAACTTCATACGATATCAGTAAGCACAGTGACAGTTGCTGTACAAATACTGTAATTTGGAATAGCATAATTTGGAACTGGAGATGGATAATGCACTATGTGGTATGGGTGGTTGTGAATACGTATGTATAATCCATGTACATACAGCAAAGATATACATATGTTGTTAAATCACTTAATAGAAGGGCTGCTTTAGCTAGTTGCATAATCCGAAATTCTGGAACATTTTTGCTGTCCTACGTCTGCAAAAGTTTTTCATTTAGGAACACACACGTTTCTTGTCAATGTTATTTCTACAATCACTTAGCTGAGAGCAGGGCATATTGTTCTCTGAATTTCTTGTTAAAATGTTTCACTTAATTAAACTTTTACAACCAGTTCTGCTCTATGTCTGATACTTGCTGTAAATTATACAGGAAAGCCCCTCTGGCATTTATGAGAATTCAGATGATGAAGACTATAGGAAAAAAAAAAATGAAGCGATGTCACTGAGTCCCAGATAGTTGCTCATTCCCTGTTATCTCCCACACAATTCAATTTAATGAAATATATTATTTCTTATTATATAAATTAGACTGAAAGAGTGGCCAAAATTGAACTACCAATTTTTAAAATGAATATGGTACCAAACTTTCACATTACATGGACAAATACAGTTAAAATTTAGTGGAATCTTAAAGAAAAAATGGGAAAAATGTCAATTTTAAAGTTACATTTAATTGTACACTCTTATGGCACACACATATGGTACACATGCAAAATACACCCATTCCTAAGTCAAAACTTTACAAGAGTTTCTCAAGGGTGCTTCAGATGACATCTCTGGCATGGGGACTTAACAGCAGTTAAATTACCATAAATTTAGTTTTTTTTTCTTTTTTTTTTAAAGCGATGTTGTGCTTCCAGGCACTCCCCAAACTGTGGAATAACTGCAAAATGGCGGTCACATCCATGACATATTTGTGAGCTTTGATCCAATTGGCGTCAATGATGCTCTGAGACTTGGAACCATCTCCCCTAACCTCTAACCACGGTTCAGCATGTAAACTATTGTGTCGCTCTTGGGCAGCTTCACTTTTGCCAGGCAGAGCCAGTATTTATGCTCTTTGGCATATTTATTATTCGGTTAACTCATTCCTTATAAATCCTTCTTCAGAATTTATACCTCTCCCAAGAGCTAAGCATGATGGACAGAAATAAACAACCATGAGGGGAAGACGAAAGAAAACAAAAAATTAAATCTCCCTCACTCTCTTCCCCTTTTGTATTTCTTTCTATCATCCTTTGTTTCACAGGGTTTTTCGTCATCATGGAGAGAAGCAAGAGCTGGACTCTGTATGGGAAATCTGGTTATGCTTAAAGAAAAGAGTTGTGCAATTTGACATCAAATAAAGATCAGATGACCCATAAGCCTGAGTCTCCTTGTGAATGAAGGTGAAAGGGCTTGGTTGTCAACGACTTTATTTATTCAGAAACTCAGTGGAACATTTAAAAATGGATTTTTATGTCTCTGATTCCTGGACAGGGTGTCACACGCAGACTACTATATTTAGAATAAAAACAAACGAAACAAACAAACAACTCCCCCCCTTTTTTTTATAGTTCACAGGGGACTAATCCATCTCTTTATCTGAGAACTACTGCTTTACTGAGCGCCTGGACAAGTCTGGGCCTAAAGAGAAAATTGTTGCTACTGTACTTTCTAAGAGAAGCCCACTCCCTCCTGACAGCTAAATATATATGGGGCTATTACAGTGCTTGACTGATTCTGGGTTTGAGGGTTAATTTAGCTCATTGGAAAAAAAAATCCTTCGTGATGGACTTTCTCTGGTAATAATACAATCTGCGAATAGGCAGATCAAAGCTGCATACCCAACTTGAGCCAAGATCTTGCTAGAACCAAATCAAACCATACTGGGAATGAGGAGCATTATTGATTCATAAGCTTAATGCAGCATTGGGTTTCCCCGTTTCCAGGAGCTGAGAACATAGTATCTTTGTATGGTGCTGCTCTATTCTTGAATTTATATCTGCTCCCACAAAACTTCCCCAGGTATTTGTAAACCGATGCTCCATTGCTTCACATACTTAGCTAAACATACCATGAGATGAAACCAGATTCTAAAAGATCATGAAAATAGATTAGATAATAATGTCTTCATTAACAAGAAAGCAAAAAATATTATTCCAGAGGGAACCGATGGTATCAAAACAAACATGCACACATTTTTTTCTTGTTGTTTGTTAAAGAGTTTATTGCAAAAGAGGCAACATTATTTCTGCCTCACCAGGCCTTTTTCAAGGAATATCTATTTCCAGCAGCTGAAAATGAACATGAACAGCTCCTCACATTTTGCACTCAAAAGAAGTCCTATTTTGTGAGTGAATTCTGAAACATTATTTAAATTAAGCTTTAAATTTGAAAATTTATTTATAAATGAAGTCTAGGCCATAGTCTAAGGGACTGAGAGGAAATCTTTGTTTGACTCCCTTCATATTCAATGATGTCAGTGAAACTTTGACAATTAACTAAACTTATGATAATTAGAAGTTAGATATTTTGATATGTGAAACCAGAAATATCACTGGAAAACAGCTGAGAAAATCCTGCACTTCGGAATTATAAATTAGCCAGGAGGAAACAAAGAGTCCATCTAAAGTTCTTGGTACAGCATTCTGTAAACAGATACATATATAGATTTATTGGTATTTCCAGAAATCTTTCTTTTTTCTTCTTATTTATTTATTTATTTATTATTTTTTGTGCATGTTCTCCTCTTCTTTCTCTCCCAAATTTATCTATGAAGGTACTTCTATTCCAGGAAATAGATGTGTTTCCAAGTTGTTCTTCACCTGGCTTAGGAATGTGACCTTTATCTTAGAACCTGTTCATACTGTGTATTCCATAGGTTTTCTGACTATTTACAATATGTATTGCACATTCTTCACTTGATCCAACATACAGGGAAATCAGTACAAGACTTCCATTGACCTTAACAATTGTTGGATTAAGCTGTATGGTCCAAGTAAAACTACCTGCAATAAATGACACAAGAATGTAATAAAGAATTCATTTATTGGCTTATTAAGCTTATTAAAATAACCTACTGTAGATTATTCAGTTTTCATTTACAAATTCAGATTCAACAGTATCTACCTGAAGTTCCAATATGCTGATTGCTGTTATCTTTAAATATACTGTAGTACAAACTCATAATTTTTCACTTTTTTCCATGTCCATTCAGGTCTTCAGGTGCTCCTTTATTTTTTCCACAATCTGTTGAAGACTCAGTTGCTCAGTGGCAAGTTGTTCGTCAATAAATCTTTGCATTTCTTCCCATTTCCTGGAGCCTTGCTCAATGCCTTGTTGAATCAGCGTGCGTGTTAGTTCCATTTTTTTTCTGAGTTCCTCTTTGCTTTTTTGGGGCACTTGGTAAATGGACTCCACCAAATCAAATGGTTTTGGCACATCTATTCTAAGCTCTCCTTGCCGAACAGCTATATATGGTTTTATGCTGTTTGCCGTCATTTGCTCTAACCAGCGAATAAGCTCAGCGATATATTGCGCCAATGCAGAGTAATTTTCTATAGTTAGATCAATTAATTTTTTGGCTTCACTAATTAGCTTTTCTTGGGAATTACTAAGTTGCCAATACATCTCCTCAAGTTTTGCTTTGACTTGTCTGTTATATTCATTAATTTTCCTTTTAGCAGCTGTAGACCAATATCGGATTTTTTCCTGGGCAGCAGATGAGAGCTCCATGACTTTCTGTTTTCCTTTTTCTTCAACATCAGCAATAAGGTCATAATATTCCTGACTGTATTTTTCCGCCATTTCTCTTACTTGTTCTGTCAGGTGTGTAACTGAGTCAGCAAGATCCCCAACATACTTCTTGTGCCAATCCACCAGTGTATCTATGAGATTCTTCAGCCATCCTAGTACTTTGTCTTCCACTTCATAGTATTTAACTGACCATCCAAGTGCAGTTGGATCAAAATATTCTTCCCGCAATGTTTTGACGTAGATGAGCAGCTGGTGCAACTTTTCTGAAAGCTCCTGGACTGTCTTTTGGCTATAAGCTTTCAACTGAGAAATGTATTTTTTAACATCTTCAGCCAGTGATCTCAGTTTTTGTGCATAGTCTGAAGCCATTGCATCTTTGTACAGCTGTTGGGTTTGGATTTTGATGTCTTCAAAATTTTTAGATTGCAAGCTTCTAATCATTTCTTCTGCCTTCTGGAAAACTTGTTGCACTCTTTGTTTCAGTTGCTTAAGCTTTCCTGCAAAGTCAGCTTCCTGAAGAGTAGCAAATGTCTGCCTGATTTTTTCCTGCAGTTGTTTCAGCATTTTTTTAATTTGATCAAGTACATTACGTCCTTTGAGAATTGTTTCAGAAGAAGGAACTTTGACTTCCATCTCATTGATTGTTGCAATCAAAGCATCAAAGTACTCTTGAAGTTTTGAAAGACAAAAATCAGCAGTTTTTGCTGCTTTCTCTGTAGTTATAAGGTACAATTCTTCACCAGTGTACTTTTCAGTCAGCCCAGGGACCTGGAATTTTGTGATCTTCAGGAATTCAATGACTGAGTCAATTAGATGTTTTATTCTTTTGTGGTATTCTTCTATTATGTCAATGGTAGCATCCAAAAGCTTTGCTTTTAGTCTTTGATAGTCAAATTGCTCAGCTTGACTTGCTGCTCTTCGATATAACTGTCTAGCTTTGACCTTCATCTCCTGATATTTGCCAGAGGCCTCATTGGCAGCTGTGCGAAGCTGAGCATCTACTGCATCTATTTCTTTTACAGCAAATGCATATGCTTCATCAGCATTCTTCTGCATCATATTCTTCATCTTCAGTGTGGCAGTACTGATATCCATTCCCATATGCTCCTTATAATACCGATTAACACAGTTATAGACTGCAGTTGTCATTCTAGGTACCTTTTCTTTTAGACCCAAAAGCAAGTCTTTGGCAGCATCCTCTTTCCAATTTAATTTCATTTGAATCAGGTCAGGTTTCTTGAAGGATATCTCACTTTTTAATATGTCAATGTCCTTCTGAGGAGCAGACTGAAAATATAAAATGAGATAACCACACTCAGCATCATCTATAACAAGTATATTTCAATATTTGTGTATTCCTTTAGTATTATGATACTCTCAGGCATATACACCATGAATCATTTTTTGTCTGCTGTACATTTGCTCCCATACTGAAAGGTTGTTTTGGAACAAATGCTGTTGTACCAAGCTACTTTGTGCCTCTGAGCAGTAGGATCAGTGCATAACTTAGTCTACTCCTTCTTTATGTGAATGCAAAAAGTTTTTCTTCCTTTGCATTAAAGGCCTACGATGCCTGATAAGGCATGTGAATTACTCGGGAAAATGCCCCTTATTTGATTTTTGAAATCACTTAAGGTGAATTAAATAAGCATTTCCTAATATGAAAACATTGGAAGAGTTCATTTAGTAATCACTTAAATCAATGAGAATTTAGTGTGAGAGTTACAGTAAATAATGTTCCTCAAGTTAGGACCTATTTACAAAAATGGATTTTTCAGCTTTCAGTTGTAAACAATGGATTATGACTTATTTGTGACACCTAAATTTGTAAAACATCTTTAAAGCTAAGCTTTTAATTCTGAAATTACTGCAGTATGCCAATGAAAATATATTTGCCGATAATAGCAACAGCAAACCTAATAAAAGTTTTTCCTATCATAATGTACTGTGATATATTAATGGGGCCATAAAAAGTCACTCTGTAGATAGTCTGATCTCTTTCAGTGGCTTGAATCCTACAAGGGCCATTTTTAAGGTAACTGCAATTACTCTGATGGGTGTATAGTATCTAACACTAGCTATGTACTATTTGTTCACTTTCAGTGGGTGTGTTTTCTTATCATAGGAGAGAGCAAAATTAACTGTTTGGAGAAGATGAAATAGCCTTTTCAGACACATGATACTTTTAGTACTGGTTAAGACCACTTTAGGAAAGAAAATCTGCTCTTACTCATATTTTTACTTTGGACAATGGGTGCTTAAATTGTTTTGTAAAAGAAACACATGTATGTGTCCTATCCTCTGCCCCGTCCCAACCTTGTTGCTTTTTATTGCTCATATCAAACTCACCCGAGTTCGGTAGTAAATTTTTGCCTTCAGAGTGTCAGTGTCTGTTTCCAGGAGATAGCCCAAGGCCCCAGCAGAGGGTGAAGATATGGAGGCAGCTGCCATGCTGTCAATGCCTTTGTAACGTATGTGAACATCGGTAAATGTTGGGCTGGTGATGTCTAGTGATCCAGTGCTGTTCACAATTCTAAAGTAACCACAAACGAACAGCCATTAATGAAGGCACAAAGAAAGAACAAGTCCTAAAGAAGTACACAATGCAATATGCCTAAATATAATACAACATAAGGTTTTTAATATATATATGACTAGGAAATAATGCCTTAATCATCAAAAGAAAATGCAGGGTTTTATTATCTACATTTTTGAAGATCTAGCCTAACACATTCAAAACTTAAGGACACTCCAGCTTTCCTATTTTAGGTAATACTATATTGAGATCTATAAAGAATTTCCATTAAATTAGGATATCAAAACAAAGTCTGTAGCTGCATCACTGTCAGCTTTCTATGGATTTTTACAAGCCACTTCCATTTCTTCTGTGAACAGAAGTATGAGAAGTAAATTTTATCTGCATTGCCTTTCCTTTCTCAAATTTCCAACCCTTGGATATGGTAGCACAACACTAGTGGATCAAAACAGTTAGAAACCCATCTCTGTAACCCCTAGTGCCACCATTTGTGAAAAGAAAAATAAATCCTTAATGATCTGTGTTAATAGAAATCTCCAGTGAAAACTATGTTGATGGTCAAATTTAGAATCACTCTGATATAATGAAATTCTTTGCTTTATCTCAGAATTTTTAAGAAATAAAGCTTCTTAGAAAAGCTATTCTGACAATGCTGAGAGTAAATATTTTTCCAGCTATCAGGGGAGAGAAAAAGTCCCATCTAATAGTGACAGGATAGCCACATAGGTTCTTGTTAATTACAGCAAAGTACTCTGGGGTATTACAGTTCAAAGAAATAATAGACATCTTGCGATTTTGTCCAAGATAAATGATATTATAATCACAAGTCTTTACCTAATTCCCCGAGCAGTGAATTCTTCCTTGTAGGTTGCACTCATGTCACGATGTGAAAAGCTGCCAACTGTCTTCATAACAAACATTTCTCCTTCATATTTGTAGTTTGTGATGACTACAAAAAAGAGTTCGGTTGTGTATATTTGCAGAATTTATCAGAAAACAATACTAAAAACATGACCAGTTTTATGTTAGCTGGTCAGTTGCGAGGTGCTTTAGTAATATATGAAATTATGCATCACAAAACTAGCTGCCCATAATGCACAAAATAAAAAGCATGGATATGTTTATACAGAGTATTCAGTTTTGTACTATATTTAAAATAATATTTTGCATGCAGACCATAAATAGAGTTTCTCATTTCCTGAGAGTTTGTATTTGACATATACTCTTATAATTCTAATGCCTAAAATTTGATAACACATGCTGCTGAGGGACTCCTGAGTCTTCTGTGTTGAGATTATTTTCAAAATGAAATATACTTAGTTTATAAGGAAAAAGTTTGGTATTTATTTACCTCTAAACTGAATCTAGTGCCAGTCAGACTGCTTTTTCTCCTCCACATTTATCATCATAAGGAATTATTTCTATGCAATTTAAAAAAAGCAACAGACAGAAAAGGAAAATTTCTTCCCTTTTTTCAGAGTATGCCATTAACTATGCATATACCTTGCTATTAACCCTCAGACTAAGACTGATTAAAACTTTCAAAACAATGCTGTGGATGATAAAAGTAGAAGTTCAGTCTAATGTTAGTGCTAAATAGGGAACAGCACCTTCATATGCAAACTAAGTTCTAGGAAAAAAAAAAAAAATAAACAGAACAAAACACTATAGAGTATTTCCCCTAGAAATGTGTCATAGTGAATATAAGTTGTCTTACCACTCAAGTCATATTCCAGGAACTGTAATGTTGAGCTGCAGGTAGAGTCAATGGACTCCTGAAAGGAGTTTGTTTTATTTCTTAAGTCTGTTTTCCAGGTGACATTGTACAATGGTGAAGCAACTTTGAAAGATCCAGTTAAAGCACCAAATGATGGGATATAGATTCCAGCAGGCAAGGACATTTTGAGAGGGGGGATCTCAATTTTCTGTTCAGGAATTGTAATTGTAGGCAGATCAAAATCTGCAATCTTATTAGCTACTTCATCCAGATTTACATGTAGATTGCCGACAGAAATATTCTTTGGAAGAGTGAACTGAGACACAGTTATTTGGTATTCAGGTATTGTCAGTTCAAAATAGGGTAATTTGTACTCTTCTATTGTAATGTAATTGGCTCCTACATTCACTTTGGGGAATCTTACTCTTGGCAGCGTGGGCAAATTCACATCAAATGGCATTGTACTCAGTGTCTGTGGAATTTTTATGTTGCGCAAGTCAACAGTATATGATGGGACCTCGAGAGTGGTGAAAGGTACTCTAAATTCTGGAGTGCTGAGGACAGGACTTAGAGAATTTAGGTTTATCTCAGGAATACTGAAAGAAATGCCATCTGTAAGCTTATTCACAGGTATGGGGATAAAGTAGCCATCTTGACTCTTTGTGTACACCAGGGATGCTGAAGCATTTAAGAACTGTTTTCTGTCAGCACTGGTAGTAACATCCAACTTCAAGATATCCCATAAGCTCTTCTCAGAAATGGGACACTTCCAGTACTTGAGGAAGTCTACGTATCCTTCCAAAGACCCAGAGACATCAAATCTTGCTTTTGATTTTTCATTTGATAATTGCATATCATGACTGAGAGATAATGACTGAATATGGCCTTCACCTTTCCAGCCAACTTTCTGGTTTTCAGTATTGATTTTCATTAGGATAACTTGATTAACTGAAGCTATGTCCAGGAAGGAATTTGGCTGAGTAGCTTGTATCTGAAGATCTGCTGACATAGTCCAAGGAGCAAGTTCGAAGGTTGCTTTGCATTTCTGAGTCCCTGAAGTTGTGATAGGAGGTGCATATCGTACATAGTTTTTCCCACTGTGCTCCCAGACTGCATAAATACGACGGGGAGATGCTTCAATTGCAAGAATTTCTTTCATTTCATTGTTCCAGAGTCCATCTACTTTGGAGCTGGCCTCAAGTTTGAGAGATGACCGAGCTCCATTAGCATTCAGATAGGTGTTTGCTTCATGGTCTACATTTCCAGAAAATGAGTTTCCAGTGAAGAATTCTCCATCAATATTCCCCTTTGTTGATGTTTCTACTGATATGTAAGATGTAAGGCTTTCTAAAGCAAATTTATGAGCAATTCCTCCTTTAGCTCTGGTTCTGTATTCAGTAGTATTAAAATCATATGTCAGTTTTAACCCTGATGAAAGAGTGGGTTTGGACTTCGTATTTCCAGAAAGCTCTTGGCTAAAATTCATTTTTAAAATGGGTGTGTTGATATCGGCATTTGTTGCCAATGAAGCTTCCATATTCCTCCTTGTGAGACTAATAGTGCTGTCATGATTTCCTCCTAGAAATTTGTTATTACTCAGGGACAGCGCTGTGGCCAGCTTCAAACCCCTTTTTCTTGTCAAACTCGTTGAACCATCAAGCTTAAACTGCAAGGCATCAATCACTGAAGAAGACGAGACACTGAGTCGCCCAGCGATATCTGACTGATTGAACAGCCCAGCATTTGCAGTCAAAGTGATCACACTGGATTTAAATGAGAAGTCATAAGTAATGTTCCCCATGGCAGAAATTAAGATGTGATTTGATGGGCTGTTGATTCTGAATCTAGGAAGCTTAAGAGTGCGTAGATCTTGTGGGACATGAAGAACTGGAAGCTCCAGAGAAGGTAAGACCAGCGTGTAAGATGGTACTGAAAAGCCAATAAGCGGGACTGTGAATCCTGTTGTGCTTATTTCTTTGGGGAGCATGTAACCAAAGGCTGGCATCTCAGCAGTAAAAGGAGAAACCTCAATATTCACAATGGGAATGGTGTATCCTGGAATTCTGAAGACCCGAGGTAGTTTGTTCAGTGAAGTCTGTACTTTGTACTTGTCAAGTTTTGTTTTGGCTTCATTATATGATTTTGTGAGAAAATCTAAAGCAGCGTTTCTTCCCTTCTCAAAATGCTTGTTGAAGAAAGTGATATATTTATTAAGTACTTCATGTACTGTAGCCAAAGGAAGTGGGATCACGTGCATGTCTTTGTTTTTTTCATATTGAGCATTCAAATTTAAATCAAATGATTGTCTTGTAGTCTTCAGTAATTCTTTCAGACCCATCTGTTCCCACAGGGAATAATCTTTTAGTTGAGGAGTTTTGATTCGCGTATAGGGAACTTGAAGCTGAGGAATGCTTAGAGGAATATTTAAGAAATCTAGATTGGCATCTCCACTCATTTCAACGTGCGCTTCAATTCTGTCATCATTATTGGCTGCAGACATGTTATGGGAGTATCTGTACTGATTGAACCTGCCAGTGGCTTGCCAGCTGACCTGCTGAATAGAGGAACTGAGCGCAAGACCGTAGTTATTCAGGAAGTCAATTTTGCCAGTCAGTTTCATCGGGAAGCTGATTTTCACATTTCCATCATTGTTTGTTAATAGACGAATTTCAAAAGGGTGGGCCAGGAAGGAAATCTCATTATTCACAGTCCCAGTAATCCGTCCATTAAGGCGAGCATTGTGCGAGCCTGTTAACTCTACCTTCATGCCTCCAAGCTGTCCTGTGCCTTTTAAGTTCAGAACACTGCGTCCCACAGGCTGTAACTCGACTTCAGACTGAATCTGAAGTGTTGCATAATTTAGGAAACCACATTCATATTTCATAGCTTGGTTGACTTTCAAGTACTTATCATTTATTCTGTTGTCAGCAGAAAATACAATAATGGGGCCTTCAACCCTGAAAGTTGCGCGTGAATCATGAGTCCCTTCATCGGAGAAATTAGGATAAGCCCACTTCCAGTTTCCTTTACCAGTGGAGGTAAATGATATGTGTCCAGCTTCTACCTCTGTTGTCATGTTATTGACCAGATCAGCCTGACTGGAGAAAGCAGCTTGTGGAATATTCAGTCTGTGGGAATATGTCGTTCCACTCTGTACCCAAATTTTTCTTTGCAGCTTGACTATTAAATTATTCTGCACTTCAATTGAATTTTTTGTTGTATATAGGTTTGCTCTTGTTTCAGCTTCACCTTCTACGGAAGTCCCTAAAAATTTCACTTGATTGGTGTGATCAACTTTAAGGAATCTGTGGTTGACCTTCATGGAATTTTTAAGGTTCAGCTGCTTCATCTCAGGGGCTGAGACACGTGAGTCTGCAATAACACTAAAAACTAGAAAATCTAATTTAGATGTTGTCTGAGTTGAAACAGACGTGACAAATTCTGGATTGCTTGCAGAAGTTGTAGTGTTATGAAATTCAGCTTGTGTGGACAGTGTAAAGAATGGAGAGGCAACCCTGAAAGTACCAGACAACTTGCCAAAGGTAGGGATACTTGCAGTATGTGGGATACGTGGAAGTTGGAACTCTGGTATCTTCATGTCAGGAATCTGGAACTCATTTAAATTTAGCTTAGGGACCAACAATTCTGGTATTTCAAACTGAGGCATTCGTAGTTCTGAAAAAGAAATGGCAGGAAAAGGCATATCTCTCATCTTTAGATCTTTAAAATACACATCAGTTGCTGGCAACTGAAATTCACCAGACATGAGTTGGTCTATTATCCGAACAACCTGAAGTTTAATCTCATTCAGGTCAATTGTATAGGAAGGAACTTTAAACGTATTTAGGATAGTAAATGCTGGGGTAGTAAATCTCATCGGGATTTTTATGTCCTTTAGTTTCTTAATGTTGATCTCATAGGAGGGGATATGCAGATCAGTCAGTGGGACAAAGAAATCTGGTGTTTGAAACGTTGCTTCCCGCAGGGCTCGGAGACTAACCTCAAAGGCCGGTATAGTGATTACAGCAGTTCTGATTTCAGGGACTTTAAATCCTGACTCAACAAACTGGTTTAAATTTTCAGCCCAATTTTTGATATCATACTCTTCAGCCAAAGCAACAATCTTCTTAAAAGCAATATTCCACTGGTCAGAAATGTATATGACAACAGAATTGTAGAACTGGCTTATCTTCTGAAGATACCACTGAAATTCCTTGGAAATATCCATTTCAGAAATCCTCTCTCGCAGATCTTCCAGGTGTTCATTTATCTTGGCTTTTATATTAGCAAATGTTGTTGAGTTTATGAGGTCCTTGAACCAGTTAATTATTGCAGCAAGCTTGGTGTCCCTGAGTTGTTCTATATATCTTGAAAGCACGGCACTAACATCTCTCATATACTGTTTCAGTGCTTCGGCTTTCTGTGGAAGTTCTAGATTTCTGAGTTCCTCATTTACTTTCTGTGTCAGTTCTCGGATTTTGTTATTTGTGTCATCAACAAACTGGTTATAGTCAAAAGATATGAGACTTTTTATAATCCTGTCAAGGAACTTGTTGATTTCGTTTATCATCATTTCATAATCAAATGTTTGCACTTTCTTGACAGCATTATCAATAAAAGTAACAATTTTATCAAAGCATGACTTCATATCAATTTTTTTCAGGTATGAGATTAGCTTCTGGACAGTGTCTTTTATTTTGTACTGGTTAAGCAATTCTACCATCCTGTCCATTAAAAAATATACTTGCTTATCAATTTCATATTTTACAATCAGTTTGCGCATGTGACCTCGGAAAACACTGATCTTCTCAAACACTTCATACTCCTCCATCCAGTTTAGAATAAAGTCTTTGATTTGTTCAAGAATTTCATTCAGTTTTTTCACTGGTAAAGAGCGCTTCAGTTTTTCAAAAACTTTTTTAACATCAATCATTTTAATCTTTTGTTTCAAGTTTTCAACGCTACGTCTGACATCAATATTCTGAATTTGAATCTTCAGTTTTTCCAGGTTGTCCTGTATCCAAGCTCTGATCTTGTACTTTTCATCTACATTTTTAATCCAAGCCAAAGTGCTGCTTCCAATTTCACTAGGGTTATATTGTTGAAAAAAATTTTGTAATTTCTGAATAGTATCAACTACAGTCATTCTTATCTTATACTTGCTATCCAGAGCTATCAGTTTTTCAACTATTTGGTCAAGAAGCTGTCCAATAAGTACTTTGAGGTCATACTGCTCATAATTATCTTTGATGTATTGCTCAATTTGTATCAGATAGTCCTGCAGTTGAAACAGTATTTCTTGAATATTGACCAGGACTTTTTCCAGTATAATTTGGAGATCATCAGCTGTTACGCTGTAGTCCTTTGTGAAAGCAATCAGATTACTTTTCATGCTGCTAACCCTGCCCTTCATATCCAGTTTGTCTATGTAGTCATTGACATGCTGTGGGAGATTATCCAAAGTTGCCCTGTATTTTCTAATATGTTGATCTATGTTAATGTTTCTCAAGTAGCGTTGTATGGCCTGCAGTGTGGATAGAATGGCGCCTCTGACTTGTTCAAAGTAAACTGGCAAGTGTTCCAAGAATGGCAGGTTGATAACATGCATGTCTCTATTTTTGTCATACTTCACAGAGCCAGAGATACTGAATTCTTGAGGCTCTGACAAACTGCCCCTGAGGCCTAACACATCAATTACATTAATTGCTTCAGAAGTGAATGGCAGTGTGATTGACGAATCCATTGCAGAGAGATCTGCCAAAGCTCTTCCACTAAGTTCCATACCAGTCTTTTCTGCATCGTTGTAAGCACTGAGATCTTGCGAATATACGTTATTGTTCAGCTGACTTTTCAGTTTCCAAGCACTTGACTGCTCTGATGGAGTAAAAAGCACATGGACTTTATTATCGAGCAGTGTAGTGTACCTTGCTCTCGACTTCAAGTTATGACTGGTAGATCCTCTGTAATCATGAGAGAAAGTGAAAGCAAGAGGCTCTGCTTTGAACAGAAATTTGCTGTAAAGGTCTCCAGTGTGTTCACCCATAGCAATCAGCTTTCCATTACCATTGGTATGTACATCAGCAGTGATAGTAAATGGGGCCATGGTGGAACGTACAGCATTGCTGAATCGGAGAGATTTGGAATCACAGTTTGTGTTGATGGTAATTGAGGAAGCAAGTCCTGCCACATTCAGATTAACTCTGTGACTCACTGCTGCACCTTGAACATTTGCAATTGTATCTGTTTTAAAGTTTGCAGCTAGATCAGCATATGTAATGGTGTAGGTATGCCTTATTTCATCTGCTCCATAGGCTCCTCTCACATTGCCACCCAAATTCAGCTTCAGAGGCTCAAGGAGCAATTCTGCTTTGTTGATAAGGTCGGTTCTAGTGTATTTAATATTATTGTTCAACTTAGCTGTAAGTGACCAAGGCTGCAGTTGAAGTTCAAAAACATGCTTGTGGAACTTGTCAGAACTGAAGCTGTTGTCTAATTTTGAAGCATATGTTAAGGATAAGCCAGGTATATTCAAGTCATTTGTGTACTCCAGCTTGATTTCTTTAAATGATCCTTGCAAGTTATTAGAAAACTTGAGTCCTTCTGAATTAATTCTGAAGTTCAAAACATGTTTGTTGTCCATACCTAGAATGGTACTCTGGTATTCACTTCCCAGCGTTATTTCCATTAAGCTCACTCTTCCACCTAGATTGAATTTTGCATTGTTTTTACCATAGCGTCCAGAAGAGGATAGTGACATGGAACCTCCAGAAGTATCAAGTTTGGCATTCACTTCACTCTGCATTGTCAGTGGACTAAATTGCACATTTGTGGTTGCACTGCTGGCTAGACCATACTGATTAATATTGAGAGATGACTTATGGGCAGCTCGATTCCTTTGATCAGTCATTGAAATATCAGTGTTGAAAACCAGATCCTGGGAATTGAGAGAACCTGCAAACAAGGCATAATATTGGGTTTGCTTGTAAGTGGCTTGGTTTTCTGACCGAAGAGCCGCTGTCTTCCTTGACAAAATTAACTCAAGCTTATTGACACCTGCAAGTTGTCGATATCTCCCATTTGTTTCAGATGTCATTTTCAGCTGACTGTTTTCATATCTTAGTGAAGCTGTGTTCTTTAGTAGTCCACTTTGTACATCAGAGGCAGAAGTAATGGAAAATACACCATCACTATATCTGCCAGATACCTGATTGGTAGCCTGAAGGTAAGAAGAATCCAACTTCAGATTTGATTTCCCTTCTAAAACCCGTCTCTTTTCATTGTACGAGCTTGACAGAGTGTAAATACTTCTTGCAAAGACAGAAGCCACTTCTAGCTGGCCTTCCATCTTGACATTATTGATATTCACATTATTTGTCTTCTCAGAAACAATATCAGTTGAAAATGAAAGCTGTGGACCCAGAGTGCTTGATGCCATAAGTGATACCGTGCAGTTTCCAGTGGGACTAGGTTCATAGATCTTTGTCCTGGCCATCTTAAAAACTGATGTTAAGAGTCTGTGTTTCAGATGATTTTCATATGCACAAATATAGCCATTCCTATTATAAGATACTTCTCCAGAACCTGAAATAGGAGAAAGGAGACAAAAGATAAACTAACCTTCTTTTATTTAACTCTTGCCTTTATTATATGTCTTTGTTAACTCCATTTATGGTGTGGATTTTAAAAGAAACTAAATGAGTTTGCTTGTCTATTCTCATTGCATTTTGAAAGGAACTACCTTTAAAATATCCATTTTAAGGCCTATCCGCAGTGTGGGTCTGGGATAACTAGTAAGTAGTTATGGCAGTATTTAACCATATACAACTCATAAACAAACATACATTTATATGTACAGGAAGAGAGAGAGAGAGAGAGAGAGATAAACTGCAGGCAGACACAAAACCGCACACACAAGTTTGATTTTGAAAACACTTGACTTGTCAGGTACACAACTGTTCATAGGATTGGACTTTCAGTCCTGAAGGATCTTGTCCTCAGTAGGGAGGATTTTGGAATACGGACTTAAAATACTTTGTTGAATTACATGATTTCATCTTTAGTGCCTAAATAAACACAAACTATGTTTAAAAAAAGAGAATGATTTCAGATTATCAAACCTTGTTGTTTAAATAAACATTAAGAAATGCTTTACCAACAGATAAATATCAAATAAAATCGTTAAAGAAGTTTTGCCAACATTACAACATCAACACACATTCTTACCTTTCACATTGTAAGAAAGCAGCTCAAAAACCGAATCGGCATTCATGGCATAAGTAGTTCTTGCGCTGGCTGTTTTCTCTGTGATGCTCTCAGCCAAAGTGTATGCTGCTGTCCAGTTGTAATAGTTGCTGTACATATTGCTAGAGACTTCTAACGTGCCAAGTAAAGGCACATGAAGTGGATAGTATTCTGGAACAGTAAATGGTGGGATTCTATATTCTTGTGATGGTACGTTTATTCCCATTGACTCCATTACCAGAGGAGGTGTTTTAACGCTTTGTGGTATCTTTATGTCACGGGAGGATCTTCCACCAAATGGCAATGGGATATTAATCAGAAAACTACTCTTATCCCAAGTGTATCTGATCCGGCCATCACTAGAAAACAAAAGTGACAAAAGTGTTTAACAATCTATAAAAGTCCATAATACATACAAGGAAATTCCTACTATTCCCATGATACTAAGCTTATTTATTTACAGGTTTATACCAATGTCTTGACTTTAGGTATACAAAGAAATGTAAAGATGACTTATCTCAGCATTTTTGAAGCATTCATCTATCAGAATTTACTGAAAGCACTTTGGATACTGTTGAATACTGTTAATGTTTTTTTCCCTTATTTCATAGTCAGTAAGACTAAGAGGGTAAATAATCCAAAATGGACTATTGTTAGACCTTGTATTAGAGTTCAAAGCTTCTTGAGTCTGTCTAGAGTTAGTAGCCATAACTAGGAGAAAGAAAATTGCATTTTTTTTTTTTTGCAAGGGGCTAAATATAAGACTCTTGTGAATCTTGCACTTGTTTTTTCTGCCCTGAGAATCCCAATCTTTTTTATGATCATTCATGAAGAGATGCACTGGTATGGAAGTGGTCCTCTAATTAAATAAATTAAATGAAAATAGCTGACATATTAGAAAGAATAATTCCTCTGGAAGTTCCTCTTCCTCTTACAACTCTGCGATGTGTTATGCTGAATACAAAAGAAAGACAATTCTTCCTAATATTATTATTAAGGTAAAATATTAATATCCCATATGTTACCCATAATGAACAATATATATAACTTATGGTATAAGTTTAGTATTAATATTTTAATATTAATACTATTTTTACTATTTACTTTAAATCTAATGAGTATTAATACCTTTATGTTCTTCTTAAAACACATATTTTTATAGAAATGAATGAAAAGATTAATGCTGTAAGAACCTAAATGATCAAGAATTTCTCTTTCTGATGATGAGTATTTCAAAAGTTTCTTGCAAATATTCAGCATTTACTTCGTTCTCAGTACAAATAATAATAATAAAAAAATCTAGCTATTCATCCAGAAGCTAGGACTGGAAAATATGGATTGCCAACTGAAAAGTTTGTGTGGAAAAAGTGTAATTATGAAAAGACAAAACAGGAGGAAACTCAGTCTTAATAATTTGTGCAAGAACAATATTCTGGCAAGATTCTTTTGTTGTTTGCCTAACTGGTCTTGTACAATACAAAATCTTTTTTTACTCTTAGAGTTCCATTTTAAGATGAAAATTAAGTAAATAATTCTAAAAATCTGTTCCATTCCAGCAAATGATTAAAAATGACCATAACAGAATGGCAGAAGCTATTATTCTAATGTGCACTGTTGACAAGAATACAGGAGAAAGAAACACTCGCTTCCTTGCTTACACTTAGCTCAGTACAAAAGTAAAGGAGATGTGTGTCATTAACACTCTCTTTCATAATACCCCAGTGAAATGGGGTATGTGGAAAAACTAGTGCTAGGAAGGAGAAAATACTATACTCTTTTTTTTCATCTGTTTTTGTAATCCAGACTTTACAAGCTTCTTTCTTTCATTTATATTTATTTGAGTCATGAATATTCCATTAGGTAACTGGAATCCCATACAAACAGATTTCATATACTGCTGTGGTAGCTGAGAGTGTACTCTAAATATATTACTGAGCATCAGTTTTCCTTAAATCCTTATGCAGAGGCAAAGCAACGACGTGATAAGAGCACTAATTAGCAAGAGGGCTAATCTAAGACCCGTCACAGCCATCACATGTGCAACTTCTAGGCAGGTGCAAGAGTATTTTAAAGTACAGATTTAATCAGACTGATTTACAGTTTAATTTCCTAGAGACAGAAGGAATAGGCTGCTTATCAGCCTCTCTCTCTCTTTTTCTTGGTAACACCTTATTCCTTATAGTTTTTAAACATAACAGGTGATTTCTACTAAATCTGACAGAAGGGTAAGAGCCTCACAGGTTTCATTCATACAAGTTCTGTGAAAGTTTGTAGCAATGAGAAGAGAAAAACTGTAAAAGCGATTAAGGCTAGGGACCCTTTGGTTATGCCAATAAAAAAGGGTCTGTAGGGATGTGGAACACCAATGAGGGTTCATTAGTACTTCTTTCATGGAAAGATCATTGATGAATTTTTTTGTTCACTTGTCATTGCGTAATGCAGTACTTCAAAATGCATTCCTATGATGCAGGAGTGATGTCTGTAGAATCAGTTTTGTCTTACCTAGTATGATTCATAATTTCAGTTACATAATTTCCTCTCTTTTAAAATTCTTTGCGAATTTTATGGAATTGTTTACAATAGTTTTAGACTATTTTATAAATCAAAGTCAATAGTACATGCACATGAATGAATATCTATTTTCAGTTTTCTGTGTGACTATGGTCATTTCTCTCCCTACCTTTTCAGGAAAAGTTCTTCAGGAATGGTGATAACAGGCAGGTTCATTTTCTGGATGTTCAGGTCCTGTAGTCCACTTAGTTTGTCTTGTAGAGTCTGAGCATAGGGGACATCTTTTGATGCCTTTTGCAGCCAGGTGTTTGCTGCCTGCAGCGAAGAGAGAAATTTTTCAAAGTGAAGGGACAAATAAAAAGCAAAAGTGAAATGACAAGTTTTAGGCCTTTCCAACCGTTTTTCAGTTATGTATCAGCTATCTGAAAGTTATTGCAACTCTCCATATACAGAGTACTAGGCATTTGGTGAAGTGACTGGTTGCATCCAAGTTGAAAATACAAACTATACTAAATCTCACTGCTTTCACACGTCATCCCCATAAAGTTCTTTTTGGCATCCTCTGAGGAGACAATTCATCAGGGCTACCTGATCAAGTGGTAATACCCACTGTAAACCAAAACATACCACGATGAATTGTGACACAATATGTCGCAGCGTCATATCTGTATGAGCTACTTTCTGATCCAGCAGTTCATTAGCATGCTTCTGCAAGGTTTTCGGGTAGTCTGAAAGATTAACTGTGAAAGCAGAAGACATTTTCTTCACAGCGGCGTTTGTTCCCGAATTCCACTCCAGTTCAACTTTCTCAGAATCTGAAAATCACAAATTTAAAAGCAGAAAATGGCAAAAGTCAGAAATATTCTTGTTCTACTTGAGATTTAATATAAACAAAAGTACTAAGCTGTTTACATTTATAGGTTTTACACAGGGATCATGTTTTTGCCTTTACCATATCTGAAAACAACTCTTCCTGAAACCGAGTTCCCATGAGATGATGCAGCTGAGCTCATCTGAAGATATCCTTTGGTCGGTGAGTAATTAACCAGTGCTTCAGTTCTAAGTTCGGTTTGCAGGCGAGGAATAGAAAGGGTGCCTCTTAGCATTGCCTCTTCCATTCCAGCATATCTGAGAAAGTGAAAAGTCAAGGTGCATATAAAGCCTTTCATTTACCTCTTCTATTTATGTTTCAAGAGTAATTCCAACATTTAAATCCAAAGTAAGGGCATAATAGGTGATATAAAAAAAATGGCATTAGATTTACCATGCCTTCTGATTCAATGAATGCTTTTCCCACTGGTGACTTTGGGAAATCTGAAGCAAATGATTATAATGCTGCTGTGTAGAAACACAAAGGACTAATCCAGTATTAATTCTATAACACTGAAACAGAAGGAAATATCTACCTGTCTTGGCTCAGTTGTACCTGAATCAAATTCTGCTCTCTTTATTCAAGACACATTCTCTACTAAGTATACGAAGCATGAATCATGAATCAAATGGAAACAAAACACTTGACAAAACATTATGCCATTGGGCCTCATTTTCCTTTATTCACATTTATTTTATATTTCTGTCACTTTGTTGACTTGAGCAAAATTCTAATATTATGTTAGTGTAAATGAAAGAGAATTGAGGTCCCTGACATCTGTCCAAAGCTCCCACTGATATCAGAGGCAATTCTGCAGGAACAGCAAAGACAAAGACTCCCTGGGGAACCATCAGGATCACAGAATTCCATGGAAGATTGAGGTTTATTAAAGAATGTGATCAGCTCATTTCACCACGGGCTTGTGAGGCAGACAATTTCAGAAACCCTGGCAGGCTGAACATTTTTGTTAGCTCCCCTGTAGATGTTCCCGGAAATATTCTCATCATGAAGCGTGGGAACTTTTACAGGAAGCTCTCATTTATTTTTCGTTTTGTTGAGTGTCACTAGATTTCTTCATGGGGAGACCTAATAACTTTTTTTTTTTTTTAGAGCTGAATATACCCCAAAAATATACCTCTCTGAACAAACCATGCCTTGTTTATATCCTTGGACTATCACACCTGCAATAACAGTACTACAGTGTCTTTCTTGCAGGCATCTGTGTACAAATATGGAAGAACTAACTCAAGAAACTTGTAATGCAAATTATACCTACACATATAGTAAGAAGGCTCAACTGTATGCCTATGTATTATGTATTGCCTATGCTTCCTTTAGAATTAGTTTTTGTATTAGATATATATTTTGTGCATCTTTTGAAGTTTACAAAGAGAATGCTTCAAGTGTTTATGAAAGAGAATTTAAATGACAAATTTTTCTGTGTGTGTATATTCAGTAATTTCTCCTAAATGGGATATTATTCCCTTTTTTTATTCTACCTTTAAAAAACCCTCAGCTATCTTATTCAATGGTATCTGGGAAAGTTTAAATGGTTTCCTGGCTTACCTTATTTGTCCAGTAAGAGTAGCTTCAGGTACCCTCTTGTTTAGCAAATCTAAGATTAAGGTATATGCTTTCTTCCCAGAAACAGATTCATCAGTAATTCTGAAGTTTGTACCAAAGTCAACATCAATATCTGGAACACGGACATCACTGGTCAAAATTCTCCTGTGCCTGTTGTACCTGAAGGTCAATGTGGCCTCATGCTGCTTTACACCTGAAAAAAAAAAATTACTTTAGTTATTCACAACTATGGACTTTTTTCACAACTTCCTGGACTTTTCTAAAGTGGAAAAGAAGAAATTAATATCAGCCTGAAGATATAAATCAGCATGTGATGAGTCCGAATCACAAACTGATTTATCTTTTTTCTCTTCATTTTCTAAATCATTATTGACCAGTTCACTGGTCAATTCTTGCTATATTCTTCTATATTCTCTATTCTTGTTATATAAACTTGCTCTTCCACAGAGTATCCCTTTGAAAAAGTGCTGTTGATGGCATTCTTCTCTGTTGGTAGGCAGTTATTATCATATTTTACCAGAAATGCCATTTTTCTCTTGCTTATATAGAACCCATTAATTTCTCCTTTTTATTACTTCATTCAATGATATCAGTGTTTTTTTTTTGTTGTTGTTGTTTTTAAGATGGGAAAGTATTTTTATTATATAAAACCTGCATCTGATCAAGAAGACCTTGCACTGGAATTGTGTACGTGAAGTTAAATGAGTGAAAGTATTGTCACATATCGAGTGGAATGGTATTCTATTTTACATTACAAGTAGTTCTATTAGGATGATTTATTCACCAAAAAAAAAGGAAAGCTTCTCACACCTCAATGTTGCAATTCAAAACTGAGCTAAACCATATTGCTTTTTGAGTTTCTTACCTTCTGCCTGGAGAGCAAACTTTAAGGTGTCTACCAGGTCGTTTCCCTCTCTCTGCAGGTCATAGTTAGCGCTTGCAGAGTATTGCTTCACTTCACCTGTGGAAACTATTTCAACTTCAAATCTAGAAAAGGAATAAATAAATCTCATGTAAATAATTTGGTTATGACAGGAGAAATCATTCAGATCTTACTAGTTTTCTAAGCTGCTCCTACTGATCTATTATTAGAATATGTGAGAGGATACTGTAGATACCAAGTCTTATAGAGCTTAGTATGTTTCTTAATGCAAAACAGATACAGCCCAAGTTGGTTTGGCTTACTTGGTTTCTCCGGTCAGGGGGTAATATGGAGCTGACTCAGTGACACTGGCATTGGAGTACAATACATTGGTGCAGAAATTTAGACCAGTAATGAAAGGCTTGCAAGAAGTCCATGATTCTCTGTTCTCAATCAGAGGTGGAATCTCTTCAGTTTTTGTTGGAGACACCAAATGTAGTGTGTTGCTAGAACAGGAAAATGAACGTTAGCATTCCCAGGACAGGTATTTAGATACTAAGTTGGTAAAACCTATCAATGGGGCTAATTTCTGGAAAACAACAAAAAAAATTACTCTGGTTGGGGCTTTATAAAATAAAGGGCTCTTTAGGGCTTAAAATATCAAATTGAGTATTATTGTTATAAGTACTATTATAGATAGATAATTACAATTCTGTGTATTGAGACTTTCATCTCTCTGAAATTAATATATGCAATTCATTTAATTTCAATCTAAAATATTTATTGCTGTGATAATCATCTTATGCAAAAGAAAATAAAGATGCAGAAATGCTAAGGATTTTGACAAAAATTACAGTATTGAATGATAAATTAAAGAATTTGTAAACCCTGCCTTTCAGTCACCCCTATAATTTGGGACATTCACCTATCCTACAAAAGTAGCTATCCCAGTTTTACAATGTCTGAGATTTTTCTGATCTGAAAATCTTTTCACGCCTGCACCCACCCCTCAATTCCATCAGAATAAGAATCAAGAAGAGAAGCAAGGACAGAGGCTTGGCATTTTTCATTACCTGATGCTTAGGAGTTTTGATGCTGAGCTGCAGCTGCCCAGCTTTCATGCTAACATGTGCTTCAATTCCAGACTCATGGAATATGTTGGAATTCATCTCCACACCACTTCTAGCAAATTCAGGCATGTTTATTCCCAGGTGTGTTACAAACTCTATTGCTACAGAAGGTTTAGCAATGAGTTCTGCTTGCATCTGTGTGATAAAAACAAAATGATATATTTATTCGCCCAATACTTTTCTTATTAATCTTATAGAAAAGCAATATTTTCATTATTCTTGATAACCTAGAGCTTCGTTTTGTACAATTGACATTGCTATTCAATATATTTGATTCCTAAGTCTCTCTATATAAACTAAGAGGAGAGAAAAGTTATAGCTGCATACAGCAAGCTGATAACCCTAGGAAATCTTACCTTACTGCAGAAGTAGTTCTGCTGCAGAAAGATTTTATACATGCAACTATTTGCATCTGTTTTTAAAGCTGAAGTCAAAACCAATTTTCCAATGGAGAAGAATGATAATAATTTTCAAAAACAATGACTAAATTATTTGACAAAATAGAAATAGATCCAAAATTTGAATTCCCCTAAACAAAAAAGAGCTTACTTTCAAGCTTTTGGTTTGGACATTACAGAAAGAGCAAACAGAATGAAATTCCAGAAAAAAAAAATAAGGCAAGGAAAACTAAATCTGAGCACATTTTTATTTTTCTATTTATTTAAATAAGTGCCTACAGTGGAAAATAAAAGGTTAGGTCAGCTAAAGCATTGAGAAATGTATATAAAATATTGAATAAAGTAGGTCAAAATAATGATTAACGACATTAAAAAATATTCATTTTAGCCTGAGAATTCATTTAATTTCACATACCCTTTAATTTTTTGAATTTTAAAATAAAGATGTTTCATTTCAGATCCAGACCTTTTTAATTTAACTTTTAATGTTTCTTTTAATTGAAAATTTTATTAACTGTTTTGCATGGCAAATTCACATTGTAGATCTTGCACTATTCTCATTTGAGATTAGTAAGAGTGAGAAATACAGAAAGATTATTTTTAAAAAGTCATTAAGCTAAATTTCTTTCATAAATTTTGTAATCTCATACTTGATATGTGCCTTATTTTTGTGAATGACATTCACATTAAAATAAACTTATCTGGTGATGATGATAAGTTTTTTTTTTCCTTTTTTTTTAGGAGTATTTCATGGTCTTTACAATTCTGTTGGCATTACAGTTTTATTGCAAGTTTGTAGATTATTATCAGGTGCACAACTGAGACTTACGCTCTTTTGATGAAGCTTCACAGCTACTTTGGCCCCAGGTGTCGCTATTCCAGACAAAGCAAACTTCAGCTGCAAACCTGCTCCAGTTGGGAGCTCAAACTCATTGTCCATAAACATGTAGTGCACAAATAAGTCCCTGTCAGCACCTTTTGAGATGGCTTGTGCAATCTGAGAAACAAAAAAGGGAACGGGCATTAATAAATCTCTACATGAAACCTACACTTAAAAAATCTGATAGAAAACAAAACGAAAACAAAATACTCATTGGTACATCAGAAACATACCATTTCTGGAATACCCTGAACAGTGTTAATGCTCTTCAAAATCATGCTTCCCAGCAATTTGAAATCATTGAGTTTCATGTATCCAAGTTCTTCTCCCAAGATTCGCAGATATGCCCTTCCTTGAGGAACTTTCTTGTTGCCCAATTCTTTTATGAGTTTTTCAAGGTTAAGGATTATTGCGTTCATCATATCCTGAAAATTCATACAAAAAGTAGCATAAAATGAAACAGATTTATGAGAAATCTGTGTGATTACATATCAAGAGCTGTTACTTAGAGAAATTAAGCTAAACCAAACATGCACTTCTTGCAAACTCGGCTCCCTCAAACACAGGCCTTCCCAAATATATTAAATATTATTAAGAACTTCTGTTTTAGCTTATTAGAAGGAGAAAAGGCTCAGAAACAATATTTGTTGTAAGTACTGTAATTAGTGTGTACAGACAATAATGCAGTGCTGTGCAAAGAACACTTTCAATCTGTACCTGTTCCTGTCTGCCATCCTGGGAATAACCAAAATAGTCAAAGAGTGCCTTGGAAACTTTTTCTGGAACTCTGCCGTCAACCCAGTACAAAGCTTTGCTTGCAGTGTCTGGGAAAAATCCCTTCTCTCCGAAAAAAGCGTCCAGTGTTGGTTCAAAATCCTTTCCATCCAAGCCAAGCTGAAATGTATAAAACAATACCCTAAGTCAGAGAGTTTTCTACTTTTTTAGGGCCCTACAACAAAAAGACTTGTTGGAGAACAAATTATACATTTAAAACATATATCAAAGTTCTCTGATTCTTGAGAGAAAATATGCAACAGAACAGAATGCTAGATTTTATGAATAATTTTATTTTTGAGGAGAGGCCCAACACAAAACCTCAATATAGGCTGGAGCTCAATTAGAATCTACTATGAATACATCAGTGATTCCTTAGCAAGTCTATTTGCTACAGGTGGTTTCAGCTGTCCCCTAGCTGAGGTCTTTAGTGACCCAACAAGATGGTCCATCCATCCACCAGCAACTGACATCACATAGGGTATGTGTGCTCTAAATCCCAATGAGTCTCCTTGTAAGCACAGTGATCATGAGATTTTTCTCCAAAACTTGCAAAAAAATACATTATTCATAGAACATTGCTATAAGCAAACAGAAATGAGAAAAGCAACAGCTGCATAATAGCAAAAGATTTTGCTATACCTCAAAGATATCACTTGGGTGAAATCCATACAGACTCAGGGTGGTTTTTAACATAGTCTCCCTAGGAACATAAGTGTTTGGCTCAAATATCACATTTCCTTCTACTTTGGCAGAGATGGGATCAAGTCCAGGTAGAGAAACTCTTTTGGAAATCTGATAATTTTGTGAGAATTTTCTGAAATCCTTGGCTGTTGGAATCTCGTTTCCTTTCAGGGCTTCTTCTACTCTGCTTTTCAGACTAAGAGAGTGGTAAAGAAAACATGATTAGTATACATACCAAAAAACAGTTAGCCCTAATTCTGAGATATCTTGTGTCACTTGTAGATATTCATACAACTGAGATGATTGAAAATGGCTGGCTCTGTATGCATCCTGACAGTAAAAACAAAACTAAGAAAAAGACTGTAAGCCATCACTGCTCTGACAAAGCCATAGATTTACCTAGCTGATGTTCTTTCTTTTAGGTTATTTTTCTTTTCCTTTGTTCAAACAACGAAAATGAGCATGGAAACAAATATAAAAAAAGAGATAGAAAATCACCGAAACACCATCACTGCAATTTGGATCAGAATTTTTTTCTTCCCATATGATCAGCATATCGTTTAATTTTACTTACTCTTCAATGCCTGCTTCTTCAGAGTTTAAGATGTTGGCAATATGTGAGGCAACAAAGCTTTTCACTTGTTCATTTCTCTCCTTTGTCAGGACTCTTACAACCTTGGTGAGATCACTTGGAGAAGGATTTTTCATCAGTATGAGATAAGCTGCCAGACGTTTGTCAGCATGTGCATCCCCTTCATTGAATACTTTCAGAAGAGCTGCACGGTCCTATATTAAACAGAGGAAGGTAGATTTTGCACTGATCAGCTGGCAAGTAGATGATATTGCCAAAATTTTTTGGACTATAATGGGTCAAATAATTTCCAGAATGACATTCATGCAATATTTTCAAGACTGCATAACCACAAAGACCTCTATTTCTATCACTGACTAAGAGTGTTTTGCTGATTCTACCTTGATAAAGTTTCTTTTGATATGAATTTTCATAGATATTATGGTTTTAATGAAGCTGATTCTTTCATCTTGTATCTATTGGGTTAATTTTTTGTTTAAAATGCTTACTTTTAATTGTCGTGAATAAGAAGTGTTTTGACCTGAAGAAAAAAATCTCAAATTTTGAAAATTAATTTTTGGAAATAAGATTTTGTTTCTGAAGATAAAAAGAATAGTTTGAAAATGATAAAAAATCATTCTCTCAAAAATATTTAATTTTAAAATGCTTTGAATGGAACTGAATCTGATGACCTATTTGAAGGCTCCCAAGTTCACAAGCCTCCCTTCTCTTGTCTTTTATAGTAGGAACCTGTTGATGTTGAAACTGCCATTTGTTATACTTACCTGAAATATTCTGTGTAATGACACCTATTCTCTACAAGATGTTTTTATTTTACTGTAATTTAAACATAAATCTAGGTAGTACAATAATGACAGTAATCAACTGCCAATCTAAAATGGGGAACTCATTTTTTTTTCTCTGTTTTTAGTTAAATACCTATAAATCTGGAGTAATTCCTTAAACCACCTTTAAATAGGGAGAGCACCATTTAAGATATCTTTAAAAGAACATATTTAAACTTTCCCTTTAAACTGCAGCTGTGTAAAGCAGCTACATTTCAAAGGAGCAGTGTGCATTAAATCACAATCCTGCAGAACTTCTCAGATGTTTGGATGGAAATTAAAGGCATTCTAGAAAAGCTGTGGATAACTACACAGGAGATAGCAAAAATATGGAATAATAGGGACATCTTGATTTATTTAATTATTTAGGTGAACAGTTAAGTTAAAATGAATTGTAAACAGTTTCTGCCAATTTTTGTGATCCAGTTTACCTCCTCTGTGATAGTCATTTTTCTGAACGCCTGGATGGCTGCTTTTTGAACTGAAGGTGATGCAGCTTCATTTCTGATACATGTCTTAAGTAAAGATTTCAGGTTGGGTTTAGCTTTTTCCATTACTGTGCCCATGTTTCCAATAGCCTGTCAGTGATAAAAACACAGAAATATGATAAATATCTTTTTCTCCACCAACAGGAAGACAGTAATATGTACGCAATAATTTATAATAGTAGCATGCATAAGGGGAGAAGCAAATAAAAATACCCTGAGTGTGAGATAAGTGAGCTCTTCATCCCCAGAGCATTCAGTGCCAAGGAGTGATATCATGAAGTCTGCAACATCTGTTATTTCTTCTGTCACAGTTAGCTTCTCGTTGTAGAACCTAAGCAGAGAGAGAAACACATTGGAAACAAAGGGGAGATTTTTTTTTTTTAATTCCAAAGAGCTAACTTACAGGAATGATAAAAAATGTTGGAAAACCAACTACTCTTAATATTTATTCTGGAGATTTTAGTGCCTTACTGAGATTATTTCATAAAACCAGGTACTGTCAATACTCACTTATTAACAGAGTGACTCAAGCCATAAAACGAAGCTCTACTTGGCCGATATTGGGCCATGTTAAGAATTTCCCGTATTCTTTCAGCAGATGGAGAAGGCAGCAGTCCCAGGGTGTATGTGACCAGGTCTGTCACAAATGGATTCACATCGCCCGTTCTCAGTATCTGGAGGACAGCACTGTAGCACTCTGGAGTCCCGCACTGAGTCAGGGCCTGGACTGTGAGGGAACTGAAAGAAAAAGAGAGGGCTCAGATCAATTCCTGGCTTGCAGTTAGTTACCCAGCCGTGGTACATGTTTGAAAGAAGCTGAATGAAAGAAGTATTCAATGCATTTAATCTGATGTGTTAATGCAAGCGATGCATGCCTATGTATGCCTTGGCATGCCTGTGATGTATGCCCTGGAAGCAAATCACATATGCTTATCAAAAATAAGCTTCTTAGTTTTACAAATTATACTAATAACATGGCTTTCTATGGACAACAAGAAAGTATTAACAATGCTATCACTACATAGACTACGTCTTTTTTCTACAAACACATCACACTTTCCCATCCCCTTAACTGTTACAATACAATGAACCAGACTGAGGCTTTAGTCTCTCTACAGACTGAGGACACAAGTATGTGCAAACTGAATTACACTCAGCTAGGGCAGGAACAGCAAGGGCTGGGAGGTAGAGAATGGGGAAGATTAAAGACACATGCTCTCCCCTATCTCCAAAAATTTCACTTTCTCAGCTGCATTCTTTAATATAAGTCAGGACTGGAGTTTGGAACTAACATCCTTGTCCTTCAAGGAAACTGGATGAATTTTCTGCAGATATTTGGTCATGTTAACATCTTCTCATAATTGTATCAGGCATACATCCTCAGATGGGGTGGTGGAAGAGAAAAACAGCACTGCCTAGGGTTTTTAACCTGTGCTATATTCAACTGCGTTTCCTTTATGAGACAGCTTCTCCAATTAACTAGAAAGATTCGAGCAGCTAATGATGAAAAAGGCTATCTCTTTACAGAATTCTAGAGCATTCAGACCTGTTTAAATTCTTTTACTGTTTTCATATATGTTCATTTTGTTATTAACATTTGAGCATTTCTGACAGGGAAAAATATTAATTTCTTTTTTTTTTCCCCATGCTTTCCTTATTTCTCTCTAGAGAAGTAATATGATAGTCACCTTTCTAGCCAATGTTTACATCTTATTAGCCTATAATTTAAAACCACTTGAAGCAAATAGTCAACTTCAGAATTGATTTACTATGACACTGACATGTTGGATTTGCACTATGCAATGTAATAGCATACCTGGAAGTCTCCATCATCTTTGGTACAAGAGAGCCAAGACTGGCATTGTGTAAACTTCTAAGTCCAGAAACGAACTTGTAAAAGAGTCTTGCTCTCTGCTGGTTCTGCTGGGAGGCTGAAAGTTTTTGCAGTTCCTGAAGAGCTTTCAGAACACTATCCTCTTGCTTGGGAAATTTTGCATCTGTACTTTCCAGTGCAAGTCCTTTCTCTTCCAGTTCATCTAGCAATTAGAAAAACTATATTTGATATCTTTATCAAGGCGGTATGCTAGTGTTTATCCTCTGACATATGTTTAGTATAAATGTAATCTCTATAGGTTACTTTATATGATACCAGTTGAAGTTAATAGTTGAACAGTTTCTAAAAATAGTAGAATGGAATTTAAATGTAATTGTCCCAAAAGTATAATGGTACCTATTTGTATAAATCTTAAATTTTTCCTGAAGATGATTCCCTAAATACTTTTTATATTTAACAGGGTTTGATTTTCTAACTTTTAACAGGAATAGGAGACTCCACAGCCTCTCTGGGCAGCCTGTTCCAGGACTCTGTCACCCTCCCAGAAAAAAGTTCTTCCTCATATGAAGATGGAACTTCCTGTGTATATTTATACCCCATTACCCCTTGTCCTGTCACTAGCCACCACTAAGAAGAGTTTAGCTTAAAAAATACAACAAAAATGTTGTTTCAGAAACAAAGGTGTAGCAATCATGAGTCACTCAGATTTGGTAGCTGAAGCCAAAAATTGAGGAGCAAAATTATGACTAACAAAGAATGTGTTGTTAAGCCTATTTCCAAAAAGATTAATTTTCAAGATATCTAGAAAATATATAAAGATTAATTGGAAAAAAATATATAAAGACCAATTTAATTAAAAATGAATAAATTAATTAAAAAATGAAAAAATAAAACTTTTTTCCCCAATTCCCTCCCAATGTTTTCTGGCTACGTTTATTGAATTTCATTAAAAATGTGAATTGTTTTGTTTCCCTCATATACATTTTTAATTGCGTAATTGTTCAAAAATATGTTGTCTCTGTATTTTCATTTGATATTTATTCAAAACTGCAGAGGTACCTCCATCAAAATTTCTATTATTGATCTTAGGGGTATCTTCAAGCTTTAATGTCTGGTTGACTTCTGTCATCACTCCGTAGCGATTTCTAGTAAACAAAGAAAAATACAGTCCTTTAGTTGACTCTAAATGTTTAGCTGAGTCCAATCTTTGAGACATCTTGCCATGCCTCCATAAGAACAAAGGGACTATGTGGGATTTAAGTCAGACTTTGATAGATTACTATTCAAAATGAATATATACATAGAAAAGATAACAATAAGTAGTGTGCAACCTACTTGTATGAGGAAGGCAAAAACAGGTGTTTTTCACTGCAGACAGCATCTCTTATATGCCTTTTCTTTGCATCAATATTGTAATGACAGAACTGTGTGCTCCTCAGAAGGGTAGATAATGGAATGTTCTATAAAATAAAGTTTTTGGCAGTCATTTTGTTGAGTATATGTAACAAACCTTTTTAATGCTGTTATAGTTTTACTTTAATATCAACAATTATACCAAATTGAAAATGATGGTGCCTAGCTGGAATCATTTTTATACCCAAATAAAACTGTGCCAGTAACTTTGTTTTTATCTCTCTTCAGAAGCAAGAATCCCACTGAAATTTTTCCTCAATCTTCAGTGAGGTGTTTGCCTTAGTAGTTACTTCATGTTGGATCTCCTGCTGTCTATGAGAAAGGACTTATTCATTTAAATTAATTTGTAATTTTTAGTAATTCATGCCCCTCATAGCAGCTGATGTTCTTTATAGTTTCACTCTGATTACTGCAACAAACTGTAAAAGCAACAGAAATTATGAAGTGTGGTTTCCAATGGATTTGTATCTTGTGATCGACTGACTTTGAACTGAGGTAAATTAAGGCTATAGCTTGTGCTTAGCTATTAGAGATCCACATGGAAGATGCACATGCCTTAACTGCAGCAAAAGCATCATCTAAAATCTATGCCTTAATAGATGCAGACATCTATCAACCCATGAAATCAAGGTTCATCTCTGTGAGTTCTTTGGTGCCCAACAAAAGCAAAGCACATTGCCTTGACCATCCATTTATCTGCTCACTTTCAAAAAACTTGCATCAAATAAATATTTTTGAGACTTCTCTAAATGTGGCTGAATAAGTTGCAGTCTGAACATGCCTCAGAAACTGGGATTTGTCAAACCACTTAGATCAGGACATTTAAACCTATTTCCTCTGTAATGCATAAATATCACGGTTCTGGTGGACTACTTGGTTTACATAAAATAGAAAACTTGAAAATTTTCACCCAAAAAAATAAAAAAAGACTATGTGATGTAATAAAGTATTATACTTTAGTATGTACCAACTAAATAGTACTAACACTGACATTGAAACTAGTCTATGAAAAGTTCCCCTCTAAAAATAACTTAAAGAAATTCATGAGAAGATTAAAGGTCAGTATACTCTTTTTATCTGTATTAGTTTTTCTCCATTGACTGACACCAAGACTACATTCCGTTCTTACATAAGGATGCAGAAGACCTATCAAAGCCCCAAATTAGTAATTGTATATCATTTTAAGTGGGTAAAGAATGTTGTATCTTAGAATTTTTACAGGTATACTTACCAGTCCCTTTACAATGGCGATGGGGCTGACATAATCTCTGATGGGACTGAAGTTTTCACAGACTTTCAGGTCCCTGTTAATTGAAATATCTTCAGCAACATTTCCTTTCCTAGATTTGAATTCAACTTCACTATCGCACTTTCCATATACAGTGTCCTGGAAATAAGGAAGAAATTAGTATCCTTGTTCATGATGTCAAGCATTTTTTTGGTCTAAAATGCACCTTTTCGCATTTGAATTTCTAAGTCTTTTCAATATGATATTTGGGAGTAAGTCTACTAAGTGTGGTTTGTTCCCTTTGCTGAAGAAAGAAAATGAATGCTTCTAAAAGCACTTACCATGGATATTGTTTTTACATTTTCTACTGTTTCTGTTGGCACAAGGAGAGCTGAAATGATCCCTCTCTTGAGATTCAGGACATTCAGAGGTTCATCCTTCTCGGGATAGAGCTTGACAGTGTTTCCATCTTGAATGCTAAATTTTAGCTCATGCCTGACCAAAAAAAGGCCTAGCATTAGTATGAAACCATATTAAACTCACCAGTGAAGATTATGATATCAATTAAGTGCTACTATAGCTAAAGCATCATGTTTATCTTGGTCTGTTATTATTTAATATTCATTGTTATTTTACTAGTATTAAGCACTGCTACTATAAAGTAGGTCTTTCCCAGCAAAAATCCTGGCCAAGGACATTCTGATACCACCAGCCTGTGTCATCTGGGGCAAGTAAATATCAAAAGCAATGGCTGGAAGTTGAAGTTGCACAAATTCAGAGAGGAGATAAGTCATTTTTTAGAAAGAGGTAATTATTAACTACTGCAATAGACTACAAAAAGATGGGGGGATTTTGTCTGGTTGAAACTTCTAAATAAAACCTTGATTGTTTTCCGGAATTCATATTTTAACACTGTCTCAATTTATGTTGAGATTTTACAGTTTGTGAAACACAAGAGCAACTGGGCAGGAAAGCATACTAAAACCAGTATAAAGGTGCGTGAGTAAAACATGCACAGACAGGGTGAAGCATGGGTTGGGTGGAGGGAGTAGTGGCAGTAAGTTACGAAAGCAGATAAGTAAGGAAAAGATAAGTTGTAGAGGTCATTAAAGATCATGATAGGACTGGACTTCAGTCTCAAATGCCTTTCTATTGCACAGTCTTTGTACTAAGTCAGCAATGGAAAACAATCTTAAAAAGGCTGAAGACAGTAATTCGAGAATTTGCTTACATGAAAGAACATTCCATATGCAATAGTCTTTCAGGGGACTATACAGTAGTTTCACCTATAATTTCTTGGTCATTTATATCGGCCTAATTTATATTACGGAGAGTTGTGTTCTAGAACTGTCTTATAAACTTGCTGTCTTAATATCAAAATGTGTTCTATAGGCAGGGCAGATCGCAACATCACAGCCTTCTTAAATTTAATGTTACAAGTATCAATAATGGCTGTCTGGCTTACTTGGACATAGCATTTGCAAAGTCCTCAGAGTTCTTTGACTTTTTTAGCATGGCCCTTCCCTCAGCGTCAACTCCGAATGTCTCCCTCAGGGAGCAATGCATTGTCCTCAGGATGAAGTGGCATAGCTGTGGTACCTCCAGTTCAACCTGAAAACAGAAATATGATGTGTTTATCCTTTTCACATTATCGTATTTCCAGGATCAATCAGTCCATGTCTTAAAAACAGTCTTCCCTGAGTTTGTGAAGTGTCGGAGTCATGCTGACACCAGCTCTTGGGAAAGATTCCAAAGTTCTCTAAGCAGCTCTAAGCTTAACTCTAAGGTAAGGTAACTTTAGGGAGAAAACAGTTACTTGCTTTGCTAAGGGTATGAGATATGCAAACAAGTAATCTAGATTCTGGATCTTCATAGTACTAGAACATCCCTATACCCTATATGAAAACTTGAGTAGGATGTAGATTTATGACTCTGTTCGAATAGCGTGTGCTAAAAAACAAACAAACAAACAAACACTGCAGTTATTCCATTAAAAAAAATGTTGAAGTTTTGAGGAAGGTTGAAGGAGATTGTGACAGGTACACACAATAGTCAGCCCCAATCCCGCCTTGACAGTCATCACCAATGAGCTATGAAGCAGTCTTGATGGATTCAATGAGCTGTCTCTGTTCAATCTCTTGACCCGTTCAATTGGCACTGTTATTTGGTAGACTCTTCCTGAGTGCCAAGTGAGGCTGAAACATCAGATCTTGCCTCTTGTACCCTTAAAAGTTAGGTAAGTATTAAATGCATTAATTCATGTACTGGCATGAAGACTTCCGCCACTTTCAGCGCCTCCTGTTTATAAAAGGAAGGGCTTAGTCTTTAGGCCTCTCGAATTCCAAGGAATGGTCCTGGTGGAGAAAATACTGAATAGCACTCCCTGTTTGCCACCTCCAACATTATTAGGTCAACAGTCCCAGTGAGTTGTGTTTACTCCTTTTTCCTTACCTTGCAGGTGATCTTTGAACCACTCCGAGAATCTGCTGTTCCAGTGATTCCATTTGATGTTTCTGCTTCATATGAGTAAACGTATTTCTTGAGATGTTTAAATCTGGTTGCATCTTCTGCGATTAGAAAAGCAGGTGTGTTTTAATGACTTCTGTAGGATATGCCTCTGTAGATCCTCACAAAACGTCCTTAGCTAATGTTGTTTGTCTCAAATGAATGCACATATAAAGAAAGTGTGAGAACTATCCAAATTGTTTTAGGAGAATGTATTAGGAGAAGACGTGACAATATTACCCCATCTGGCCTTAAAATCATGCCTCAATAAAATTAATTACAAAAGCATAAATGAGAAAACATAAGACATGGATATTTAGTATACCTGTTTTCAAAATAACTACATTGCTTATTAATTGAGCCAAACAAATGGTAGTTTTTAAATTGCAAATAAATGATTCACTTCAGCTCGGACTATTGCATCATAATTCAAACAAATACCAAGGAGTAGATTTATCTAAGTCACATGGCTAAAACTGAAAACAAATAAGCATAGAAAGGGACAGAACTTCAAAATCAGCATTGCTCTTCATAATTTCACCCAAATCTACAGAATATCAGCCTGTTCCTGTCTTTCCTGAAATATCATCTACTACAGTGAATTCACTCAATGCATCTGTGAATTTCACTAAATCTGAGGACAGGAATTTTATTTATATAAAGAGAATACAGAATAAGGTAAAATTACTAAGTTCTAAAGTAAGAATAAGCCAGGAGGAGGTATTTGTTGAGCCGTCTCTCTTACGATTAAAGGAAGGCTCAAAACTCAAAACGTTTTTTTCTCAAAGGGATGAATTTTGCCTGTACTTAATCTGCATCTGCTGCCTGCAGAGGCAATGGAGCTATAACAGTAAATCATACAAGCATGAATAAATGTGGTAATAGGACCATAAGGAAAAGAATAATTTTGCTCAGCACTAGATAGAGGAAAACAGGATCCTTGATGTCTGGAACATCTAATGCATATCAAACAACATCCTCAAGTAAAATTAACTCCCATTATGTTTACAGGCATCATTTTAAACTGAAAGAAAGATCAGGCATTTTAAGTGATTGTGTTAGAGCAGTTTAGCTGTTACACATCCAGAAGTTAAGGCCGTCTCTGCCCGGACTGAGCAACTCTCTGGGAATGTGTCACTACTGGGATGTTGGAGTGAACAAGCACTTTCTTACGTCGCTCCTGTGCAGTTATCTGTGACCATCTGAACATATTTGAATCTTGATACACTTTTACAGAAAATAAAGGTAAAATCGTCTTGGTGTAAGCCCACATTTCCTATTACTTCCTCTGAACTTTTTGCTATCCTGAATTATGCTATTATTTAACTGTGCATTCTCAGAAATTTTTAGAACACCAGTATCTACAATGATAAAACTAAATGGTTGATTATTGCTTGATTTGTTGCTTTCTAACAGAAATCAATGGTAAGGGAATAGGTAAGTGGTAAAAACTGGAAATGCAAATACCAAATAATTTGTTGTATTAAAAATACACAAGAAATTTGCAGAGAAGCACAGAAAACTCTTTTTTGTTGGTTTCAGTTGAAATAAACTGGATTGCCTGGAGATGGTGCTAAAGTATCCAACAAGGAAAAATAGTCTGAATATCGTAAGGGCCAAAGAACGAAACAGCTTATCTGATACTTTGACCCTAGGATAGAACATTCTGTGTCTAACCAAGCAAGTCATCTTCAGTTTATTATAAAGATGGGGGTATAATGTCAGCATTTCCTGAGTCTCAACTAGTTTTAATAAATTGCTGTTGAGTTGATCATTTATTCTACAGATATTTAGTTAGATATCGAAGTGCAATTGTGCGTGTTTAGCACTCACTGTGAAGGCTAAAGCAAAAGTGAGACTCAGCCTAAGGTAAAGTGAAATGAACATAACCTCATTGCTCAAGCTTCAGATCTGATAAATAGGGATTTCCACAGTAAGGAATTTGCACCTGAAAGGGCATATAAAGAAATCAATAAAACAATAAAGTGCAGTTTCTGTTTCTTAAAGGGAGCTTTTTAGAAGTTTTCAACACAATCTCAACTTTTCAAATATGAAGAAGCTCCTGAAATCCTGGATCATGCTTTATAGATTATTCAGTTTCTAAAATAAATGGCAGTAAAAATTTCAGAATACTGCCGTCACTTTTGTTTTGACAATTTTAGAGGAAGAGATGTATGGAAGGGGAAAATTAAAGCTCTGAAATATATTCAGTTAATATATAAACATAGATAACAAAAGCATATGCAACAAATCACTTACTTGAACAGCCGAGGTTTCCACTTTCAGGTGTTTCTTCTTCTGTAAAGAATAAAAACAAAAATTAAAAACTGTGTAAGCAGTTTATAGCTATAAAGAAAAGACTATAGAAATAGAATTGTTCATGCTGCATTTTCAGTGTAAAACCTTACCAATTTTTACTAGCACACTGGTGTAAAAGATGAAGCTCCTATTAACATTGATGGTACAGAGTCAAGACTAAAGGGAGTTATTGTAATTGCTTTGATATTGTGAACTAGTAGTTCAGAGTAGGATATTGAGATCTTGGAATTGAACTACTTGGATTCAAATTGAGAAGGAAGAGCTTCTGTGTTAACAGATTTTTTTAAAGTCCTGTGATGCATGGAATAAAATGTTTATAAATGATAGGCACAAAATGTAGACAGATGGAATACACTGTACAACACAGCTGGCTTACTTTAAAAATTCTAGTCTATTTGAACACATAGAAATACTGCATAATGGGTGAATGGCTATATTTTGCTTTCTGTGCACTGGTAAAATGACAATTTTGATGAGTAATAAGACAATGTTATGCTATTAAAGCTTCCTTGGATTTTTTCAGGCAGACAACATAGAAGAAATGGGAATTAGCAAGAGACAGATAAAAAACATTAATCAATGTTCATAATAAAGACAAATATTTATTTGTTGAATCTTTTGTTTAAAATAATCAATATGCTATTTCTGACAATCAGTTTGAATATTGAAAATATTCAAATATTATAGAGGAATAGAGGAGGAATATAGAGGAATATTCCTCTACTCCTGAGGAAAAAAACACTGTTTGGAAGCTCATTCCAGTTAAAAGGAACAGCAATCGTACGCTCCAACTTTTGCTCCATTTGTTTAGTTCCCACGCGATTATCTATTTTGAATATAATATAATAATTATCTAGTCAATATATTGCAACCATTCGATGGTATGTCAAGCATGTGGAACATCACACGAACTTTTCAGACTTTCAGACTTTCTTAGTCTAAATCTTTCAGATTTTCTAAGTTTCCATACTGGAAATTTTTCTGATTACTCAATATAACAACACTTATAATAATGGTTAGAAATAAATGCATCCCATAAAATAGTGTAATATCAGTTCACTCAATAAAAGTACATTCATTCAACAAAGGGGTGTTTATGATGGATTTGATCTGCATATAAAACCAGTCATTTGTTCAGATCTGTATAATCGGCTCCAGAGCGATTTTCCCCCTTAAGGTTCCTTACATAACACTGTAATGAATTCTAAAAATCCTGGGAAGCAAGAAGGTATCTCGCAATCCACTAAATGAGAATGATCCAGGCTACATCTTTTCTGAGTTAAAAAAAAAAAAAAAATCTGCTGGCCCTCTACTTCTACTACTGATGACTATCTCCATTTAATATATAATTGTATTTCAAATGCCATTACTAGCTGCGAAATGCTTTTTATTTTACTATTCTTATTTTTCTACAGTTTCCACAGAGTAGGTTAGCAAAAGCTGGAGTAATTCTGAACTGTAAACCATGCTGTCTCCATGGAAGTGAAAAGGATAACACCACAGAAAAACAATCGGGCAAATATAAATTATGAGAACACCTTATAAATTTCAAAATGCATTAAAACTAATGCAAAGATACTATTCAACACTTGCAGTCCTGCACGGGGATCCTTCTATGATATAAAGAGATGACATCTTTCTATACATCTTTCATATCATTCTCTGATATGATTCTCACACTTATCTTCCCGAATTGGATGGTCCCTGTCCGGCTCATTTTTGCATTCTTACTGTTTTATTGGGTTCAGGAAAAAAAAATCCCTGTCATAAAAGCCGGTACTTACGTGTGAGAGCATCACTGCTGAGCAGCAGCAAGAGCAGCAAGAGCTGCGCAGGGCCCATGGTGAGCCCTGAACCCTCTTGCTGCTCTCCTCTCTTCGGGTAGAATGAGCCTTCTGACTTGGACCTACATTTATATAGTCTGTGGCAAGCAGCTGAGGCAAACGGTTTAGAAAGCTCAGAGCAAATTGCTAAAGGTCCAAAGGTGAGAGTCCCGGATCCTCACTGTGTTCCAGACTGAGGCTCTGCTTTGGTTGCTGGGAGTCCCTGAAGGCAAAAGCCTGAGCATACACCAAAGAAAAGTTGTCCTTCCAGATCATTGTGTTTTTGTTGATGTGGTTTTGTTTTTAATTTAACAATTTTTAAAAGCAAAGTGTCTCAGTTGGAGCCCAAAAATCTATCCAAATACATTTCCCACACTTCCATAGGAATATTTACAAAGTACAAATTATAAATCATGTCTGGAAGAAGTGATCACTGCAGTATGATGTCAGTTTAAAGGCTGAGAAGTTTAAAGGTTATACACATTGAGAAAATGATACTTTTAGATTCCATTTTCTTGCTTGCTAATAACAGCAAAAATAAGGAAGATAAAGTTTATCCAAAGAAACGAAGACAAGCTTAACGAACAAATGAAAAATCTTTTTATGAATATACAAACTGTAAAAAAAGACTGATTTTACGTCATGAGAAATTCCAGTATGAATTATTTCTTAACTCATGTCTATCAATGGTAACTGGAGTAAAAACATTGACTATGGAAATAGTTAATGAAAATCAAATTTAATGAAAAAAGAAGTTCTTAATTTTCACATATCTGATCAAAATAAAATGTTATGACATTCCCAAATCAAAGTATTTCTACTTAGCTGGTTGAAACGAACATTACATTTTGGCTTAGCTAGATTGTAATTTCTGTTTCTTTGAGATGTCACCACGCATCCTTACAGCTATCTTTCATATATCTTATTTCTTCATCACTCTTTCTCTTTGGGACTTCATGGTGAGGTTACACTTTCCAGGATGCATTAGGACCACATAACTTCTGAGTAGCATCAGTTCAACCAAATGGAAAGCACTGATGTAGCATGCGATCTACTTTCCAGTAAGGACCTATTTACTTCATTATAGTTCAGATCTTGCCTGATGACGTTAGTAAGAATATTCCACTTCACAGAGATTTCTTACAGATCTTTTTTTCTTTCTGCAATACATTAGGGGCACCGTAAAAAAAGCGTATTTTACATTTTTCCAATTCTGTTTCTGTCCTTGGCTGACACCACATTACAGATATGATGTATATTAACAAGTGATTATTTTTTACTTTTGATAGGTAACAGTGATTTTACTTTGTAATGTGATATTACCCAGTAAAAGGCTGTACAATAATGTCTTTTTTTTTTGCTCATGACATTTGATCCCTCTCTGTATTCAGATATCAATAGTTTTTCACTATTATCTAATATATATTTTTTTAATTTATGCATTGAAGATATAAAAAGCTTTGGAATGAGCAGCATTCAGAGATTTATTAGTTATTTCTAAATTTTGCCCATGTTCTCTCACTGCCTTCAGGTGATTACCCAGCCTCAAACTGAGGCTGACTGTTTTAATTAATATGGTATTGTATAGACATAAATAGATTATGGAAATCATGACTCATTTCCAAAGCATACAAGTAACATGGGTGTAGTACACTATTGTGACAGATTTCTATTGCTGCATTGCATAGTCAAGGGCCAGTAGTTTTTTCACAACAGATGCCAGAGAATCCTGTATCTATTCAGTCATTATTCAGCTTTATCTATCCAGTCACTAAGGAATTCCCATTCTCAAGGAATTCTCAGTTCACTGGAATTAGTCACATGCAGCTAGACAATATAAAGTTTGTATATTTCAACTATTTCTGTGAAACTGTCAGTATTGACCTCAGAACACACTTCATCCTCCAAACAAGTATGTTTTAAATCATATCCCAGTGTCATTCTTTGTTTCTCCACTTAGCTTTTGGCCATCACACCTTCCTCTGGCTTTGCACTCTATATGACAAAGAGAGGTAGATGGATATCATGCAGATCTGAAAACAGAAAGGATGTCAGACACATCAAACTTACTTAAGAATGAAGTGTTTGATGACAACACAGACATTACATCAACTCCAAAAGGCAACCTATTCCCTGGTGCTCTATGTCTCTACTGGGTACAGACCTGATCTAAAATCCATTTACCTCAATGGGATTTCTCCAACTGCCTTTGAATCAAACCATGTGCAGTGAGTCCTGATTCTTGCTGATTCTTTATCATTGAGAATATACCTTTTTTTCTTAAGTACACAAGACTTGAAAATAGGGATAGTTTTGTTTGTGTCTTGGTACCCACTACAGTAAGGTAGCATTATGAAGCACTAGGTATTGCTAGATACCAGTAAGTTTGTTCACCATTTCCTTTAAAATGTTTAATGATTAATGTTAAAATGATCAAAAATAATGATGACATTATATTTAGAAAGGAAGTGGTCCTGGACATTTCCTTTTTTTTTTTTTTTCTTAAGAGAACACAGTAAGTTCAACATGGCCTTTATTTACCGTATATATGGGTGGTCTTGATGGCCTCTACAGTTTTACTACTCATTGACCTCTTTTTTTCTTTACAGTACAAATCTCCATTATGTGTCTCAATAATGTTTTTCCTTCTGTTGTATTTAAGGATGGTCATTTGAGTACCTTTAAGCAGAAAACCCACCTAATACTGAAACTTGAAATTAAGTCAATAAACTAACTTGGTAAAAGGATTGTGCTTGGAATTTGTGTGTTAGTAATATTGTGCATTAACACATTATTTTTTGTAAGGGATTATTTTTAAGAGTTGTTCTGGCTTTCACAGTGTTCTAGGAACAACTTATTCTATCAATTTGTAATCTGTCTTCAGACTTTGTTTCTTTCTACTTTTGTCCAATGTCCCATGGAGGCAATCTGCAATACTAAATCACATGTCTGAAACTGTCCCCCCAGCTTTCCTACACTGCTCACGTCCAGAGAGGGAACTGGTGCTGTTTTGGCGATGTCAATGGCTTATATTCAGTTTTGCTAATGTTGATACAAATACAAAAAGAAAAATCATTAAACTTTCTTCAATTATGTTTTAATATCATGGTCTTTGATGAAATCGACATTGCTTTTGGCTGCCACTGATGACTGATTGAATATTTCCACAGTACTGTTAAAAAGGGGATGTGGTAACACCTTCACTGGATACATCTGTCAGCAATTTAGCCTGGTGCTTATTGCTGCATTGTTTCAGGACTGCAGCCTCTTCCATTAACTCATTCAGATTCTTTATTGAATTTTACATCTCCTTTTCACTCCACGCCTTTTGCTAGGTAGCAGTAAGACTACTTATTAAAGCAATTAGACAAGGTATTGAATTTCTTATATTCCAAAGAGTCCTTGTGGGCCTTCATTTAAATATCTCCTTTCTCTCCCTTTCTTCCTTTCTTCCTCTTCCTCCTCCTTCCCTCTCCCTTTCTTTGTCTTGTCTTCCTTATCTTTTCTTCCAGAGCAAATATGCTGGTAATCGTCTCACTCTTATTGAGATCCTTCTGTGTAGCTTTATGTGCAAACTTCTTTCCTGAGAAGTACCCACTACATGGTGTTCACTTTATTATTATTATTATTATTATTCATTCAGGTCAAGGCCAGTACTTCTGGTTCTTTGGGAGAAACTTGGAAACATTGGCCTTACTCTTCTACTGTATTTCCCAAATCACAGTGTCATCTGTTCAGGTCTTAACATGTCCCTCATCAGAGAAAAATGGTTGTATTTTCTGGCAAAACACCTATGGTGCTAACTATAACCCAAATGGCAATTGGAGGAAAACGTGTCTCCCAAAGGAGGTGTTGGAGGTGCATAAACATCTCCTCTGTTTGTCTAAGAATAGCTGCCAGAAGCCTGCTGAGGCATCAAGAGTAGAAAAATATTTGGCATAAGCCATCTCCTCCAGAATTTCTCTCCTTGTAGGTAGTGGAAAATGTTTCCGTTTTACATATTTATTTAGTTCTTTTGAGTATATTCCTCAGTAAAGGGTCTCTCTTCTTTTTGCGCTAACTAGAAAATGTACCAATTCTGTCAAACCTCTTATTCACACTTTCCTTTCAAAGTATTAAAACTCCCTAGTTCCTTCATTTTGTTTTTTTTCCATAGGCAAAATTTTGTACTTCTGAACTGTAGGTTGGTTTGGCTCCCTAAATTCAGTCATGAATTCTGCTGACGGATGCCTTGAAAGATGTTGCAAACTTCTACTTTGTTCCATCTCACCAACAAGGTGACATGGTGAAGTGCTTAATGTATTTCTAAACCAGTATTTTTTTCCCAGAGTTTTATTACACTTTCTCTCCTTTTTTTTTAATCTATAATTTTCATTCAAATGTGTCCTTCCAATTTCACAGCTGCAAGCCCATCTACTGTATATTTTAATATTAATATTGTTCCTGGTGCAACTTATTAGTGTAACTGCAAAAAAGTTAATAGTAGTAAACAACCCATTATTTTCTGTATAACAATCCAAGCATCTCCTGAAGCAAAATGACCTACTGGGTTGTAATAACTTCTTTCAATAAGTGGCACTATTTTCATCCTTTTTGTCGAGGTTGTAATACTCCAGTATTGTCAGCTCCGTCAAAATGTCACATTCTCTTGATGTGTCATGACATGCATGTGTCTGTCAACCAGGGTTTTCTGAGAACTCCAACTTGAGGCTCCGTGCACCTTTTTGCTTCATCTCTTCTGGTCCCAGTCTTCTATCATGTTCATATTGTCAGAGTTGATGCTGTCTCCACAGTCTTTTATGCACACAGGATGACATCCCTGCTTCCAAAATTCTGTTTTCTCACACCATAATAGTGCTTTTTGTGAAGCTTTTTCTCAGCCCTTCATATGGCTACTTCTCAGAGACTTGATTCGTTCTCCAGAATTACAAGTTGAGTTAACCTACATAGAAACAGCTCCTTTATACTTTTTTTCTTGTCTTTCTTTCAAATATTTATCTGTCATGTCAATTTTCCACAGAATATCATGTCCCTCAGATAGGCACACTGC